CTCATCCTAGCTCTAGATTCAGTCATACACACTGTCTCATCCTAGCTCTAGATTCAGTCATACCTACAGTGTCTCATCCAAGCTCTAGATTCAGTCATACCTACTGTCCCATCCTAGCTCTAGATTCAGTCATACACATTGTCTCATCCTAGCTCTAGATTCAGTCATACCTACTGTGTCACATCCTAGCGCTAGATTCAGTCATACCTATTGTCTCGTCCTAGCGCTAGATTCAGTCCTACCTACTGTTTACAATGTAGAATTTAACTATTATAAGTATAGGCCTACATGAGTCACTAATCCAATAGAATTATCACCAGGCTCTCTAAGATACCAAATAATGAATTACAGATTTATAATTTGACACCTTACATAAATATCCTCTGGTGTATTATCAGCGACAGCTGGATGAAATATTCACTGAAGGAAAGATTTTTTGCCCTTAAAACTGACCAAAATCCATTAAAAGTATCCTGGATCAATATGTCAACCAAAAAATGGTTCAAATTAAGTGGAAACATCTGTTAATTGATTAATAATTAATGCTTTCAGGTGGTGGAGATAGGGGTGTCACTTAAACACTTCAATGCTACCTTGTTCTTTCTGACATCTTAACATACAGTTTCAATTTTTCAGCCAAAACCAAATTAGACTGTATTGACCATGCATCATCAAAGCGAGCTCACCTACAGCAAAAATACATTACTTACAATACAAAAGAACTTTAAATCATCAATTCCATTTGCAAGTCATTAAGATACCATTTAAAGTATTCTGAAGTCATGCTTATTTCATTAACCAACCATACACCTAAACCAGTACTTTGATAGGTGATGATGAGATGGTGTAGAAGGAATTTCAGATGAATGATGAAAAGAGATCTATATATTATGTATATTTCACCTTATAATTATCCTGACCGCATTCAAGATAAATCGGTATGATTACCCCACATTTGATTTCACAAGGTGAGAATGTCTCAGCATAAGCTAGGTAATTCAATCAGCCAGGTGTCCCGAGACCGTAATGGAGGATGATGAACTGGTGAAATTGATATGGTAGGATTGTGGAGTGATGATGAGCCGCTATCAACGATATACATCCCTGAGGCAATGGTATACCAGGACACCAGTCCACCGAAAAAATGTGACTTGTTGATAAAGTATTTTAGTGGCCTTGACAATCAAAAGTGATTCTATTTATAACAGTACAAATATATCTGGGGTACCTGTACATACCTGTATAGTGTGAACAGTAAATACCTGTGTAGTGTTCCCTGTACATACCTGTGTAGTGTTACCTGTACACACCTGTGTAGTGTTCCCTGTACAGACCTGTGTAGTGTTACCTGTACATACCTGTGTAGTGTTACCTGTACATACCTGTATAGTGTGAACAGTAAATACCTGTGTAGTGTTCCCTGTACATACCTGTGTAGTGTTACCTGTACACACCTGTGTAGTGTTCCCTGTACATACCTGTGTAGTGTTACCTGTACATACCTCTGTAGTGTTACCTATACATACCTGTGTAGTGTTACGTGTACATACCTGTGTAGTGTTACCTGTACACACCTGTGTAGTGTTACCTGTACATACCTGTGTAGTGTTACCTGTACAAATCTGTGCAGTGTTACCTGTACATACCTTTGTAGTGTTACCTGTTACCTGTGTAGTGTTACCTGTACATACCTGTGTATTGTTACCTGTACATACCTGTGTAGTGTTACCTGTACATACCTGTGTAGTGTTACGTGTACATACCTGTGTAGTGTTACCTGTACACACCTGTGTAGTGTTACCTGTTCACACCTGTGTAGTGTTACCTGTTACCTGTGTAGTGTTACCTGTACACACCTGTGTAGTGTTACCTGTACATACCTGTGTAGTGTTACCTGTACGCACCTGTGTAGTTTTACCTGTTTACCTTTTTTATTTGTGTAGTGTTACCTGTTCACCTTTGTAGTGTTACCTTTACACCTGTGTAGTGTTACCTGTACACACCTGTGTAGTGTTACCTGTACATACCTGTGTAGTGTTACCTATACATACCTGTGTAGTGTTACCTGTTACATACCTTTGTAGTGTTACCTGTATACACCTGTGTTGTGTTACCTGTACACACCTGTGTAGTGTTACCTATACATACCTGTGTAGTGTTACCTGTACATACCTGTGTAGTGTTACCTGTAGTGTTACATACCTGTAGTGTACCTGTACATACCTGTGTAGTGTTACTGTAAATACCTGTGTAGTGTTACCTGTACACACCTGTGTAGTGTTACCTGTACAGTGTTACCTGTGTAGTGTTACCTGTTACATACCTGTGTAGTGTACATACCTGTGTAGTGTTACCTGTACACACCTGTGTAGTGTTACCTGTACATACCTGTGTAGTGTTACCTGTACATACCTGTGTAGTGTTACCTGTACACACCTGTGTAGTGTTACCTGTACATACCTGTGTAGTGTTACCTGTACATACCTGTGTAGTGTTACGTGTACATACCTGTGTAGTGTTGTGTTACCTGTGTAGTGTTACCTGTACACACCTGTGTAGTGTTACCTTACCTGTACATACCTGTGTAGTGTTACCTGTACATACCTGTGTAGTGTTACCTGTACATACCTGTGTAGTGTTACCTGTTACCTGTGTAGTGTTACCTGTTCACACCTGTGTAGTGTTACCTGTTACCTGTGTAGTGTTACCTGTACACACCTGTGTAGTGTTACCTGTACATACCTGTGTAGTGTTACCAGTACATACCTGTGTAGTGTTACGTGTACATACCTGTGTAGTGTTACCTGTACACACCTGTGTAGTGTTACCTGTTCACACCTGTGTAGTGTTACCTGTGTTGTGTTACCTGTACACACCTGTGTAGTGTTACCTGTACATAACTGTGTAGTGTTACCTGTACATACCTCTGTAGTGTTACCTGTTCACACCTGTGTAGTGTTACCTATTCATATTTGTGTAGTGTTACCTGTTCACCTTTGTAGTGTTACCTGTATACACCTGTGTTGTGTTACCTGTACACACCTGTGTAGTGTTACCTGTACATACCTGTGTAGTGTTACCTGTACATACCTGTGTAGTGTTACCTGTACATACCTGTGTAGTGTTACCTTACATACCTGTGTAGTGTTACCTGTTACCTGTGGACTGTACACCTATGTAGTGTTACCATGTACATACCTGTATAGTGTACCTTACCTTTAGTGTTACCTGTTCACACCTGTGTAGTGTTACCTGTTACCTGTGTAGTGTTACCTGTACACACCTGTGTAGTGTTACCTGTACATACCTGTGTAGTGTTACCTGTACATGCCTGTGTAGTGTTACCTTACATACCTGTGTAGTGTTACCTGTACGCACCTATGTAGTTTTACCTGTTTACCTTTTTAGTGTTACCTGTACACAGCTGTGTAGTGTTACATGTTCATACCTGTGTAGTGTTACCTATTCATATTTGTGTAGTGTTACCTGTTCACCTTTGTAGTGTTACCTGTATACACCTGTGTTGTGTTACCTGTACACACCTGTGTAGTGTTACCTGTACATACCTGTGTAGTGTTACCTGTACGCACCTGTGTAGTTTTACCTGTTTACCTTTTTAGTGTTACCTGTACACAGCTGTGTAGTGTTACATGTTCATACCTGTGTAGTGTTACCTATTCATATTTGTGTAGTGTTACCTGTACACACCTGTGTAGTGTTCCCTGTACAGACCTGTGTAGTGTTACCTGTACATACCTGTGTAGTGTTACCTGTACATACCTATGTATTGTTACCTGTACATACCTGTGTATTGTTACCTGTTCACACCTGTGTAGTGTTACCTGTACATATCTGTGTAGTGTTACCTGTTAACACCTGTGTAGTGTTACCTGTTCACACCTGTGTAGTGTTACCTGTACATACCTGTGTATTGTTACCTGTACATACCTGTGTAGTGTTACCTGTACACACCTGTGAGGTGTTTCCTGTACACACCTGTGTAGTGTTACCTGTTCATACCTGTGTAGTGTTACCTGTTACCTGTGTATTGTTACCTGTACATACCTGTGTAGTGTTACCTGTTCACACCTGTGTAGTGTTACCTGTACATACTTGTGTAGTGTTGCCTGTACATACCTGTGTAGTGTTACCTGTACATACCTGTGTAGTGTTATCTGTACATACCTATGTATTGTTACCTGTACATACCTGTGTAGTGTTACCTGTACATACCTGTGTAGTGTTCCCTGTACATACCTGTGTAGTGTTACCTGTTCACACCTGTGTAGTGCTACATATACCTACCTGTGCAGTGTTACATCAACATACCTATATTTAGCACATACATATTACTGGTATGATATAGGTAACTCTATGCTTACCTCATTAACAAACAATTCTTATAATACCTGTTAAAATATCAGTAATCTCATTGTCTCTTTATGTACTTTGATAATTACTGCTCACATTTTAAATACTAAAAATCAATAATGTTTTAAAGTTACCCAGACGTAAAATTTGTCTAAGGTGTGTTTGTTGAATGTACTTATTGTGTTAGTAGGAAGCAGTACCTAGACATGTTATATGAGGGTAACACCTGTCCTGTCGTGACACCAGACAGCTATCTAGATTACATAGCTAACAGCTGAACACCTATACACCATAGAAAACAGCTATATAATAAAAGCCAAATAACACAGACCAGGTTATGGGTATATATGTTTTTATACAGAAACGTCCTATAAAAAAAATGCCACCTTATTCCTTTTGTGTCAATTTGGTGAAGGAAGGATGATACTCAATAGCATCAGATTCAAATGATTCATCAAAAATGTGTCATATCATATACCTACGCTATAAACGATACAGGTAAAAAAAATTACTGTCAATTTCTATAAAAGAAAATGTTAAAAAATTATGAAATAAACATTTAAATGTCAACACAGTGATTTAGAAATATAAAAAGTAATATATGAAATTGACAAATTCAGGATTCATACCAAAAAATTCATCCCAGTGCATAGACAAGCGGACAAGGGTGGGGTCTGAAGAATCACTGGGGGTGGAGCAACCCCTGGCTCCACCCCCCTCCCCCCTCACATGTGTACGGAGCAGGGGTTTGTCTCCTTCCCCTGAATCCTCCAAGGGGCAGTCAGCCCTACCCAGGTTCCAAAGATCCTCCCGATATTCCTCGAGTCTGGATTTATAATCCGGACAAATTCTTACACCTTTTTTCATTTGTCTTTTGTTTCACTTCTTTTCCAACTATTAAACTTTCCTGAAATCTTCCTGAATTCTCACCAACATTTCTGCTCTAAGCACACTTCTATATGTCATTATATCCCAGAGGTAGCAGACGACACCAGACCTCCATGATATCACAGTGTAACAACAGTCCAATATACATATCCAGGAATCCTACACATTAAGAATATTTTTTCCTTTACCACAGAAGATCAAATATTTAGATTTAGCCTGGTGCTACATATTCCTGGGGATCCCAGAGTATCAGAGTATCGTGCCACACCAGCGCTGGGTATACGACTGAGGTTTATTGTGCCGTGCTAGTGTGTTATGAATGAAACACCAGTACACCTATAGGCAGATAGCAGGCCACAGACAGACGATTACCCTCACCACTGTCACAAGCCCCTTCCCCTAACAACTGTGCCCCTTCATTGTTATTTCTTTCTCCATCAAATTCCACATATGTATCATTCAAATGAAACAATTTAACTGACTGATTTTGAAATCTTTATTCAAATATTCAAATTTTTTTTTAACTGAAGATGAGTTTGAATTTCTTTGATCTCTTTCATACACTACTATCAACTTTTGATCTAGATCTAAAGACGCTGATTAGAAGTTCAAATTTTTTTATAAAGTTATCAAAATAAAATGGATATCTGACAAACTAAGAATGGCACAAGCCAAAAGGTAAATCACCGGGGATGACTCAACCCAGCCGAGATAAAATGTATTTAGTCGGAGATATTACCTACATTTACATACATACCAACCTAATTCTAATAATAGCTCTGTCATAAGGATTCTAATTATAAAAGGCAGGCCTTCATTTCCAACAAATGTTTATCTAATTTTTCAAGTTAATACTGTACAATATTAGTCAGTATTGTGTAGGAGTTTTCTGGAATTAAAAATCAGGTACTCCAAATTCTAATAAAGACTGTATATCATGTTGATATCTATATTTCTTTTCCAGTAATTATGTACACAATACACTACACAACAAAATAAATCAATGTTTACTAAATCTAAAGCTGTAAGCTACTTTAGAGTTCATACAAATATTTTTTTGTCCTTTTTATTTTTTTTCTATTTAGCATCTAATAATTCCATAATTAATAAAGATTATAGTTTCAATATTTGTAACCTTCTATTTAAAACTATGAGATTTATTTACTACTGCAGGAAGATTTTATAGCATGAAACTCTTCATCAAAGGTTGTGCATATCAAATTATTAAATGTATCTTACATCCTTAAAAACAATTTTTACTATGATATTTTTAGAACTGAAACCTAATATGAAAATGACAGAAATAAAGGTTTTGATTACACTAAATGTCGTACCTAAAACTCTTCTGAACATTTTCAGTGTGTGGTTTCACTACAGAGAGATTGTAGTAGCAGGTACAGTTGTAAGCTATAAATATCCCTAACAATAACTAACAATTTTCTGTTTGGTATTTTTTGGAATCAGTAAGGTACACACTGTTATAGGTCCAGTAGGCCTACTCCATCTTCAGTCTGCCCCACATCGTAGTAATGAAACACACACCTCTCTGTTTTGCTTACTAAGTGCAGCAATATTTTTCTTGACTTGCAAGTAAAACTTTGCTGTGTGTACAGTTAACACATAGACCAGTGCCAGTCTTTAAGTTATGTTCTTTATAATTAGTTCTTTATTTTGTCCAGGTATTAGTCATATCCCTTTGTCTAATTCTCACACCCAATGCTTTTTTTCCTCGTACACACTCAGAGCATCATCCTACTGTCTATTCTGTTGGAATTGTGGACATGCTTCTGGTAGCTATTACAGAAAAATCAAAATAGATAGGATGAAAACAGCACTTTTAAGATATTTTATTCATCAAAATGTTTGTAGCACAATGTTAACTACAACAATTCTCTCAAATCGTCACTTCTCTAAAAGAAATAATGAAAAATTACGAGAGAATCTTTAAAAAGGAAGGCCCACATAATTCCTGAAATGCTTTGTTTTAGAATGTGGACGCTTCAAGCTGAGATAGAACTGAATTATCTTTTAATACTTAGTGTTCCTCAAACATGTTGGTTGTATAATATATAAAATTTGAAAATAAAGTAAATTTCAAGATTTGAATAACATCATTACCTGCAATCAGAGAGAACACCAAATTATCATGTAATACTTCATATTCCTCAAACACGTTGGTTGTATAATATATCAAATTTGAAAATGAAATAAATCTCACATTTTGAATAACAACATTAATCCAAAAATTACTTTTTAAAGCAGATTGTAAACACATAAGATATGTAAGAAAAAATAAGATGTGAAACAGACGTACACAGTTCTTATCACCATAATCTTACCATTCCGATTTATTTTATTTGGTACCAATCCGACTGAACAGCATGTTTTAGAATATAGATGATAAAAATTGTAAAATGCCTTTATTTTTCATGATCTTCTCCCTGACACACAATATATGTTTGTAAATATTACTGATTTTAACGGTAGTGAACCAACACTTCATGCCTGAACAGATACCTATTTGTTCCAAAGTCTTGATTCTGTAATTTTAAGAAAATAAAAACCTATTTGTCTTTAAAACAACACCATAAGCTTTCTATACCCTCTTAAGTTTCTCACTTTCTTGCAAATATACCCCATCAACATTGTGCAATAATCTCTATTTAAATAGAAAGTCCACCAAGATTGTTTTATATAACACTTCAAGCCACTCAAGGTGTCAAAGTGTTTTAGTGAATGAACTATTGGCATCAATTGTACGTGAAATATGACGTAACGTTTGTTATTTTACAACCTTTAGAAGCATATAACTGTCCAGCTTTTCGAATGAGTTGTATATTTGTACTCTCAGTAAATTGTTACAAATTACACGATGTTTAGCCAAAGGCAAACACCAATGATTTTAACATAGGAGATAAATACTGTAAAGTATCCGACCTAAATACCTGCCTTGTCCAGCCTAATGTGTAGTGACCACGTCCAGGTAATTAAACCAAGGGTCACATCAAGGCTCTAGGCCTTAACATTGTTAAACCAATTATGCATGGAGACAAAGTGACCCTCCATTTTGTCCAACGAGGATGGGGTGTAATTATGCGCCTGTAAACTCTCTAGGAAGCAGTAAGGATTCAGACAATCACATCCACATATCTGATGATGATACACAAAAGTTTTCACTGTGTATACATAACAATTTCAAAAACCATTTAAAATTCAATTTCTAAGAAATTCACACATTGAAAAATAGTATAAACAATTTTAAAGAAGGAAAAGTTTTCATCGAGAAAGTAGTCAGCTGTTTTTGCTGTTTCTACACCCTGGCTTGTAGATGTCAGTGCTGATCAGTGCCATTAAACATTCAGGTTGTCTTGAAAATATGTGTCACATTGAAGATTTGATAATGGACTCATCCAACCTGACGTTATCATTGTATCGTTTCAATTATCTTGTTTACAACAATTCAATGTTATTCTGAATTCAATGTAAACATTGGTATTGTTTCCATGTAAACCTATACGTAAAGTCCGTACTTCGTTATTTAAACCGTAGATGTCCTACTGCTTCAAAAATAATAAGATGACAGTTACTTTATTCCAAAAATTTATATTAGAGTCTTGACAAAAGGTTTAGTTTAAAAACGTATCCAAACTACACCGGTTCAGTTCACTTAGAAATGTATACAGCCAAGTTTAAAAAATTGTCTGGTTTACACAACTGGTCAGATAATACAAGTTTGGTTTACACAGAAATATAGTCATAATGAGTCTGGACAAATGTCTGCTTTACACAAAGTCAGACTACACAGGTCCCATTCGTATACAGTCTAGGCAGAGGTCGGTTTGTACAGGTATTCAGAAAACACAGGTTTCTGATGACTGTGATCAGTACATAACAACTTTCAACTGACAAATTGATAACAATCAAATAAGTCAAGTTTGACAGTAAAAGTTTTGTTAACTTTCAAAGGCTGACTGCAGCTAATTTTGTATCAAATATAATATTTACTTTAAATGAACAATATATGACAATGAACTGTCTGCAAACATAATATACCTCCTTACCAGACTTAATTTTACACCTGACTTATAAACACCTAAATCATGTCTAATTTGTACATATAATTATGCATGCCTGGCAGGTAAATCAGAGATACAAATCTACCTGTACGACAACAGGATGGGTGTGTATTCCGACAATGATTCACCCTGTTATGTGACACTGGGGTCACTAGGTGCACACATGACCAGAATCGGACTGTCTCTCTGTGGAACTGTGTATAACGATGACCGGTGTCATCGACTGATGGTATGCGAACTCTCATGTTCCTTAAAATGCATGTCTAGTCAAATGTCTATTGAAAATTATCATCACAATGAACACACTCCATACAAACTTCATTCCTTCTCATTCTCCAATTTATCTATCAACAATGGCGTACGACAAGGAGAATAGAGTGGTCAAGGCCTAAACATTATCAAAGCATTCTCAACAACAATATCCATCTCCGAAGACTCATTATCAAAACCAGATTCAAGTTACAATTGACCTCAAAGGACAAAGAAAAATAAACTGATTGAAATGTCTTTTGAAGTAGATGTATTGTTAAAATATTTTTTATTAAAAATGTGTGATAAAAAACATGATTTTCCATTCAAATAAAGTTTTTGAAAATTTTAGTTCAAGGGAATTCTTAAATGCTCAAATCAAAGAATTGCATATGTGTTTCTATTGTAAGTTTTAGAATATTTTTAATTTTGATAAGTTTTAAATTTGTCAGAAATAAAATCAGACGCCTGATATTGCTGTTACAAATGAAGCTTCATTCAAACTGGCTTTAAGTTTGGAAAAACTAAATACTTTAGTGTGGGCGAAAACAGAAATATGTTACATACAAATATTATTTCAGGAATAGTTACACAGACAAGTGTCATGTTGAAC